CACAAGTTAAGAACTGAGAGAGCAGCAGACCTCTTGATCTGAGCATTGTTCACTCTATCCATGGCCAAAGAAGCTTTTATCTTTTGAAGCTTAACTTCTGCCACCCCTTCCCATTTGAAGATGTTTCAGAGCTTTCTTTTTTCTAAAGCTCCCTATGTATTTAAATGGGAAAGAATCAAATGTTCTTCCTGTGAAGTTGCTTAAGCTTTAAAAAGATGATAATCTTCAGTTATTTAGTTTGTATGAAAACTGATTTCTGGCTAGTACAGAAGAGAATTAGGCGAAAGATTGCTAGTAAAGGGAAAGCCTGTGAAATGGCTGAATCTCTAAAGTGTAGCTCCTAGCTTCTTTTTAGGAAGTGTAAGCCATGGTTTCTCTCTTGGGAGTTTTTGGTGTAGCTAATGAGACAAAGCATACATACTGCCAGGAGGGGATGAGGAACCATAATAAAAATGTTCCTGGACAAAACAAGATTAATGAGTAAATGGGGGTTCTAGAGGGGCTGGAAGGGCCTAAGAAAGGTTCTGTGAGAAGAAACTAATTGGTGGTTTTGGTTGGGGATGGAGGGATGCCAAGGTGAGGGGGGAAGCAGTGCAGTCTGGAACTACCAGCGGAGGGTTGGGTGTCAGGTCTGCTGGAGAGTATAGGCTGGCAAGAGACATTGTGCTGGATTAGTGATAGGATGTCAGGCAGTGCAGTCCTTGGGTGGTTGAACTAAAACTTTTTAGTATTGTACTGAAGGATGTGATGGGGGGTTTTGCATTTGGAGTCCTAATTGATGCCTTTGTTCACTTGTTAAAAATCTCTAAAAGGCAGAATGAGTAAGGGAACTGGATGTGCATATCAAGACGAATGATGTGAGAAGTTGAGAATATGTCCCGTGGCCCAACATTGAGCCTTTTGGACACCTAAGCAGGATCGACTGAGTGCTGTCCTTACTGTTGAGCAGTCAGTGGATATGAACTTTATTGGTGGCATAAAGATGTTGGTCAGGAAGCTTTCGTTTGATGGATTTCCAGTGTGGGACTTGAGTGATAATTTAACTCACAGATGAGACACTTGCTGCCTTGTGGCATCTTAACACTGTTGGCTACGTCTCGTGTGTGTGCCAATACCGAGAGGCATTTTGTGGGAGGAATATAGAATAGAGTTGCTTATGGTGTCTGTTCTCATGACCTTCTGACACCGCTTGACTTGAAACCTGATCTGCATGCCAGCCTGCGTCTCCTTCCAGTCTTCGAGCCCACCCAGTCCCTCACGGGCTCGGTTTCAGCTCTCAGCTCCTGTGTTGTGCAAATGCACATCTGTCCTTGCCGTGGTGAGTGTGCTCTTTTACAGCTTCCTCACCTGCTTCACATGCTCTGCAGAGGCTGGAGGCTTATGGACAGGTGGCAGTAGAGGGAGCGACACTGTCAAGAAATGACATTCAAGAGGAGTTTCCAGAGTGGCCTTTGTTTGCTGGCTTGGTTTCCTTTGTTCCTTCGACCTAATTCCTCCGTATTTCTCCCTTCCCCCTACCCATTCCTCCTCCCCTCCCCTGCCCCCAAATTGACTGCACGTGCTTAAAAGAATAAGCCTTCGGATAAAGGAGAGAATACCTGAATGGAAAAGGAGGATCTGGTCCAGAGCTCCAGGTGAACTTGAAAGAAGTACCAGCTTTGAACTACTATTTTCTATATAATTTATAGCTGATGAAATACTCCTTACTGTGTGTGACTGAACTCCTGAGAACTGCTAAGAGATAGCACAGTTCCTACCCCTAGGACAGAATTTGCTTTTTCCAGTTACTTCTTTGCCTAATCCCACATTATTGTATTATTATATTATTATTTCGAAAAAAATCTCTCCTGACCTGAGCTGGCTTTGATTCTAGCCGACTATAGGAATATCCCCACCTATGTCTCCTGCTGTTTAAGTACATAAGGTAGGGCTCTTCTCAGACCCCTTTGGCCCACTGTGGACAGATAGACCAACAAAGGTCCATTAGTTGCTCCAGGCCAGTAGAGAGCCCAAGAGCCTGAATTAGAGTTCTGGGACAGAGGTGATTGGAATAGTCATTGATGGAGCCTAGGAACCAGGGTCTGTTTGGGTGGTCAGCTCTCTTTCAGGGACCCTTGGTGAACTCTTAAAGCTCTGGGTAGACCTGAGAAAGTCATGATAAAGCAGCCTTTCTAACTTCAAAGAAAAGCCAATCAGCTTTTTTATATAAGGCAAGGGAATTGTTCTTGGTCTCAAATCTTCTACTTTGATATATAGGCTTGACAAGTCTTTGTTACCCTTGGCCTTTCTAGGCTGTTTTTCTAGAAATGCATGCAGGAACCTATTTCTTCTTTGGAACAATGTAAAGAATCAGTCTGTTTCCTGGCACTTGTGGCCTTTCTAGCCAGACTTACTGTACACTCAGAGTGGGCAGCAGTGCTTTAGGGATGTTCCAAAGATAGTGGGCCGCCTGGGTGGCTCAGTCGTTAAGCGACTGCCTCCGGCTCAGGTCGTGATCCCAGGGTCCTGGGATGGAGTCCCGCATCGGGCCCCCTGCTCCGCGGGAAGCCTGCTTCTCCCTCTCCCACTCCCCCTGCTTGTGTTCCCTCTCTGTCAAATAAAATCTTAAAAAAAAAAAAAGATACAGCTAGAAAAGAGTGGCCACAGGGCTTCCTATATAAAAAGAAAAAGGGGGCGGGGAGTGTGTTCAAATTGAGAGACGTGGTGCAGCTTGCTGAGCTGAGCCCCCCCACCGTCGGTGTTCTGAGTGTAGGAGAAGCAGCTGCAGCACAGATGCCAAGCCGGTTTGCCTGTTTTCTTCTGGGAATGTGTAAGGGAGGTCGGGGCATCTTGTCTTGTGAGGTCTTAGAAACAGGGCTAGTTCTTGGCTTGCAGAGAGGTGGGACTGGTGTACTATTTGAAATTGTATTTAGGGCTTTGCTTTCAAGTCACCTGTGGCCTCAGGAATGTGCTGGTGTGATCTAGGAGGATTTGAGTTTCCTCTTTGAAGTCACTTTTTTTAAGAGGCTGGTTTGATTTTAACAAAGTTGCCAGAGCCCCCCTCTGTACCCTCACATACACAAAGGGTGCATTGTTCTTGTACCCAGTGTGCTCTAAATAAGACACCAAATCAGATGCAGCAACCCAGTCTTGCATAAGCCTTAAAATGTAGTTTTTGAAACAACTAGGCCAGAGTGGAATTCTTTAAATGGGACAGATGTCGAGAGAATGGTCTCCTCTCGTACCCTTCCGGAAAAAAAGCAAGCCTGGGATTACAACTTCCAGTGGCCTACTTTAGATAGACACTACTCTGGAAGATGACTTTATTTATAAATATTTTTAAACATAAAATCCCAAAAATAGATCTCCGTGAACATTACAATGCATGGTGACTTGGGATCTTCTTGCCCAGCATTTTTATCTGCTTGACCTATTGAAGTGGCTTTGCACCTTTTACATTCATGATGAGTTTGAGGAGTTAACAGTATTCTTAAACATGATAGAAACTGCTGTTAAAAAGGAGGCTGTAGATTTATCAAACTGGAGAGGTTTTGTATAAAAATAGGAAGATACTTTAAGCACCCAATTAGCTTTGGGAGGAAAGGGTGCTATTAAAATGCTCTTTCAAGTTTTCTGATACCAGCTTATGAGAGACTCCGGTTTGCTTCAAAATAGGATGTGCGCTTGTGGAGTGTTGGGGTCTTTTCTGTGGGAGGAAGATGGAGCCTAGTGGTTGTGTGGGTATTTGGTGGCAGTTTACAGCCCATTCCCATATACAGGCTGGCCTGTCCCTGCATCACTTGTGAGGTCCGAGGATTGGGGAGTTTACACATAGAGGGAGCTTATTATCTCTTGTGGTTGGGGCCGGGCAGGGCCTAAGCCCCAATAGGGGAGTTGAGGAAAGTAATCTTTGGCTTCTGTTGATTGAAAGTCTTGAGAAAACGTGTGTCCCATGATAGAGAATAAGCCCCAAGTTTTATGGCTGTGGGTAAGAAAAGGAGAGTGTCAAGCTCTATTACTGAAACAGCTTATTCCTTAGGGTCAAGCTTTGAAAAATTTCGAAACCCAGTAAAAAGTATCTTTATTCTCATGTTAAAAAAGTTTTTGTTTGATGATGCATTAACAATACAAAAATATTTTGAACACTACAATAGTCCTTTTCTTTCAAGACTTCTTGTAACACTACACTAGAATATATGTTCTTTGGATTCTGAGAAGCCAGTGGCTAAAGTTAGGAACTAAAGGCTTTTGTTGAGGGATATACGGGTATAGGAACAGCCCTTTTTCTTTGGATTCAGGCTATGTACAGTGAGGAAGAGGGGAAAAAAAAAATTAAATTAAAAGTTTGGTTTTTTTTAAGGCTCAGGGTTGAAGCTTGGCTCAGAAATGGGAAAGTAGGCTGTGGTGAAAACCCACTGACTAACCACTAGAGGTTCTCTGGGCTCCTTGCTTTGATGGTGATGGTCCTTCCTGCAGCCCCATCAGGAAACTGAAGCTGGCCTGTTTCATGTTGAAAGGTAGGCACTGGCTGTCATGAGGTTTGCCCTCAGCTGCTCAAGAGCTTCCTAGACTGACACGGATAAGCAGAAAATGGAGCTGTGACAGAGGCTCTTGGAGTAGGGAGGGATGCACACCAGGTTTTGGGCCATAATTTCTTTCAGCTGTTGAGTTCAGCCATTAGAGACAGGCTTGGGACCTTGGTGATCAAAGCTTCTGGGGAGGTTGAGTTTCTCTTGGAAACATTTCCAAGTAATCTGAACCAGAGCCAGGTAGGTCTCACTGCCCATACTTGCCTGATACGGTAGTGTCCCGTCATTCCTGTTGCCTAGGGTGATAGGCCTAGATTTAACCCATTCCATTCCCTCCTTGTCTTGCAAGCTCTTGAGAACATGGCAAGAGGCTTCCTTCTGGTCCAGCTTATGAATGACTGCTCCTTTTCTGTCAACAGGGCTTCTCCGGGCCTGAGAGAAGCATTGTCCTCTTGAGCACGTGGTTGTGACCATGCTGAGGTGGTGTTTCATAAGCCAGCTCACTCTTGGTCCGCGGGGTGTCTGGTATGGGGAGGGTATGGCGGTGGTGGGACTGGGGAGGCGTGGGGCACGGAAAGCAGCTGGGCTCAGTCCCGCCCGTCTGTGACCTACGGCAGGAAAGCAGGGGCGGCAGGGGGCATCTGGCCAGCAAGACAGGTGATTGAAGGAATAGATGCAGGCTGCTGCGGGCACAAGTGGTGCCCCTAGTCAGACGACACAGCACCGATCTGATTCCCACCACTTGGGGCAGTTGGAATTGATGGCCCCGGGTTCAGGCAGAAGTTGTGCAGCCTCGGAAGTCTCCTGAGCCTGGTCCCTGAGGGGGAGGTAACAGGGCCCCTGGCCAGTTTCCACGTGCTTTGGGGCTCTGTCGCTTCCTCTCAGAGGATGGGCCCCTGGAGGCGGCCAGGTGTCCTGTGCCTGCTGGGCTGCCTGTCTCTGAGATTCCCGTCACTGCACCTGTGTACTCTGCAGGGTGCCGGGGAGGGCCTGGGGGCGTCCAGGGGGCTGGGAGGCTGAGCGCGGCTGAGAGCCCTGGTGATGTAGGCGCCGGCTCCGCAGGACTAGCAAGCAGTTCTGTGGGGAGGTGGGGCAGCAGGAGGTATGAGGGCGAGTCCTGGGGGGCTGGGGACCCGGGGCAGCCTAGAGCACTGTCATCGGAAGGAACGGGGCTGGGGCAGCGGCCTTCTCCGGGTAAGTACCGAATGCATTTCTTTTTCCTCCTAGGAATAGTGAAGAGAGTTATCTGTAAACAGAGGGTGAATTCACAGTCATACACCACAACCAGAAGACGCTGTCCTTGCACAGGCCTAGCTGACCTCTCGTCCCCTGTCCCCAGGACTTGGGTGATGTGCCTGTGCCTTCAAACCTAGCATTGCAGTTCTGCTGGGCCTGGCCCAGACCCGGAACAGGTGTGGCTCCCAGCACAGCCACAGGGTGGCACAGGAACCTCTTGCAGGCTAGCCCTGGGGCTGCCTCCTGTTTTCCAGGGGAGCCATCTCCTAGTTTGGGCCTTCGAGCCTCTGCTCCACGTGTTTTTGGGGCTCAGATCTGCAGTAAGGCAAAGGGCTGCACTGCTTGTGGATTCTTGGGTGGTGCTCGGGCAGAATAACACAAATGCGCCCAACGTGTGTGTATATACACACACTTACGGACTGCCCGAGTTCCCCTTTGCCCTTGGAGAGGGAGCATGGTAGACAGTCTGAGGGACTGGACAGTATTCCTTAGAGTCTGTGAGCTTACTGCCTGAGGTAGACTCAGCCTTACCAGACCTAGCCTCAACCTCAGCCAGGCAAACTTTGGCCACCAGGTAGGTATACCTTCTTTTTTTAGCCACCTGGTAGGTATACCTTCTTTTCACATACACAGTTCTCTGTTGTATGGGGAAACACATGGGTTTAGTGCCACAGAGCCTAAGTACGGCCCTTTTGCTAGGCCAGCCCAGGGATAGCCCCTCTTCCTCTCTCCCTACCTCTGCAGCCCCTGGTCTCAGGTAGAAGACGAGGTACATGACCACTTGGCATCCAGGTGGTTCTCTACCACAGTCACCTTGGTTTTTTTGGTCTTGTTTTAGTTTTTTAGATTTAAGCGTTCAGGATAACACAGGCAGGGATCCTAACTTGAAGAAGTGAGGGAACTGGTGGACCATGGTGAGTTCTAGGCCTGGTAGCCAGGGGCTCAGGCCACTGAATGGGGTACACGAGATTGGCCTGCTGAGGCTCTGCTACACTTAGTCAGCATCAGGTCGTCATTAACAGAGGACCCTAGGCACCAGGGGCCAGAACTACCTTCTTGAGTCTGCCTTTCTTTTCTCGAACATTCTCCATTCTTAGGAGACATGGGTTCCCCAATCTGTGGGTATGCTATGGGACTAGGGGACCAAAGGAGGGCTACAGGCCCAGCAGAACATGTGCAGAGTCAGGGAAGCAGCTTGAAGCAAAGGGAGGATGGTGGTGGGGACAAACCCACCTGCACGGACCACACCAATCCGTCTGCTGGTTGAGGCCAAAGCGAGCACGGCATTTCTTAGGCGAGCCAGGGTCTGCTCACAGCCATGCCAGAGGGGCAGAGCAGGGCAGAGGGCGAGCAGGCAGGCAGCAGGGCAGAGCAGGGCCCAGAAAGAAGAGGTAACATCAGTGTCAGCCAGTCACAGATTCCCCAGAGGCCCCGTAGGCAGCGGGCCTCTCCCTGGCACAGCCAGCCCCGGTGGGAGCCCCAGGGCCCAGAGCCAAGTTATCAGGAAAGGTGGGCACCTAGCTAGGCAGGAGAGGCAGTGGGAAGAATGGTGGAGGGAGGGGATCCTAGCAGGTTAGCTCCTCCTCTCTCTGGCTGCAGCATGGGAGCTGCGGGAGAAAAGCCCAGGGGAGGCCCACGGGGATCCAGCCTCTACTGCCTCAGGGCTGCCCACCCCCCATAATCTCCCTGCCCACGTTACCCAGTTTTTCTAACTTTTTGTCAGTGCTTAATCCACCTAGCCCATAACCCCCTCATGCTGTAGCTTAAGCCAGATGGACGGCAAAGTCCATACTTCAACCTCAGAAAAAGGGCAAGGATTCTACCCCGCCTCAGTCCTAGCCTCGAGCTTCCCTGTGTGGAGACAGCAGAGCTGAGATAGTCATGGATGTGGAGTCTGCGTTATCAGACTTGGGGCAAGAATTCACCCACAGGAGGGAGACCTGAAGCAGTGTGTGGCTTCCTTGGGTCCTCCATACAGAGCACTTTGCACTGCCTAAATAAACAGGGATTGGGGGTGGGAGGGTGACCGAGAAATGGCCAGGCACCAACCAGCCGGCTGTGGGACTTCTGGGCCTAGGCACAGCTGCACCTCCACCCCCACAGCCTGCATGCCCCTCTCAGCAGAACCACAGGCTCAGTTTCTCTGGCAGAGGCTAGCTGTGAGCAGGGCTGGCAAAGGTGGGAGGGTGCAGTGGGTCAGCACGCCAGTGTTACACTGTTAAAGGGATGTGTAATTGTTCCTCACGTGGGCATTTGACTTGTGAGAAGTGGGCCTTGTTTCCAGAGGGCCCAGGGCCTGAAGGTCTGTGGCTGAGAATTCCGCCCCTCCCTCTGGGCCAGAGCAGGGTGCTCATGAAAATGCAGGCTTGGAGAGCAGTCTCTGCTGCTGAGAGGAGGCCTCACCTGTGTTGGATTCCTGGTGCTTCTCCCGTGACCGCCTTTTCTTCTTCCCCTGCAGGGAACAGAGGGAGGGATTCTGCTCAGATCTGGGAAGTGGTCCCTTGATAATTCCAGTGAGTGTGTGGTTGGGAGACCTGCAGCCTTAGCCTGGCTGTTGGCTGAGATTCTGGGTATACAGTTCCCTCCTCCCCAGGAGGCCTGGCGTTTCTTGATGGCAGTTTTTGCCAGGGCACCATGGGGCAGTTAGAGGCTCCTCCTCCTCCCTTTCCCGTGTGGGTCTCCCTTCTGAATGGAGGCGATGACTTACAAGGCCCCTTACTCCCCTCCTGCCTGTGTGGCCAAATACCAGGCAACAGCCCTGTCGGGGGAGCGCATCCCAAGTAGAAAAGAGGACATGGGCCTGCCTTCAAGGGGCAGCTTCCCTTGCGTAGCGCTCTTCAGACCAGCCATGTGAGGCCTTGGGCCCCTGCACTCCACCACCTGCCCTCCTTGTCTCTACCTTCAGGACAGTGGTCTGGCTTTCCCTGTGGAGACTGTGGCCCGGGGCATGGCCTCTTGAAGGTTCCCCTCCCCGTCCCTACTGTGTGTCATTGGCCACTCACATAATTGTCCCGCGCTGACCAGCCTGGGTACAGCTGCATGTGCAGCTGCCTCTCCTTTCGGGCCAGCTCATAATACTTGGCTTGCTCTTCCCGAGACAGCGCGTGCCACTGCGGTGGGGGAGAAGAGGTAGATATGGGGTGCACCAGGGTGGAGGTGGTCAGGGCCCACTCCCGCCAGCCCACCTGCCTGTGGCCTCACCCTTCGGCCCAGGATCTGGTTGATGGCCGCGCTCTCCTTGAGTGTGCACTCTGCGATGACCTTGGCTCTCATCTCCTTCATGTACAGCATGAAGGCGTTGAGGGGCTTCTTGATGGTTGGCTTCTTGGCCTCCTTCTCCACCTTGGATTCTGCCTGCGTCTTCCTGAGGGGTATATGTCCAGATCACTCAGGAGCCCCCCAGTGTCCACCTAACGCTCCTACCTTTTTCTAGTGTGTGTCCAGTGTGTGTGTAAATGCATGGAAACGAAGGTTTTGTAAATGGTATCTTTCCCAGCTGCTCCAAAATGGATGATCAGAGCTACGTAACTCTTCCTTCCAGGAATACTGCAGCTAAGAGAAACATGTTTAAGGACTTCTCAGCCCCTCCCCTGTTGGCTCAAACCAAATCTCTGTTCCCCACCCCATCCATCCCCTCCTCCTCCTAAGGATCAAAAAACACTGGTTGGGGGAGGTGGGGGCAGAGTGCTGGCTGGCTCACTTGGAGGAATCTATGACTCCTGATGTTGGGGTCGTGAGTTCGAGCCCCACATTGGGTGAAGAGATTGATTAAGTAAAAAAACAGAAACCAACAAAAAAAACCCCGAACAAAACACTGGTCAGTCAGTGGCGAGAACCACAAGATGGCTCAGCCGAGGCCGCCCCTGACAGCCCCCGGAGCTTCTAGGTGGCAAGTGCAGAGCCTGGTGGGAGGAATGTGTCTGGCTGGTGAACAGATGGGACCCTGAGGTCTGCCCCCTTGTTCCCCTGCCTCCTCCACATTGGGTGCCTTCTCACTCACAGGCTGCGGTCATACGGCTGCAGCTCCTGCTTCGCTGAGGGAGGTATGATGGCCGGGTGGGGGATGGCTGCGGGGTGGCCAGGCACACCAGAGCCTAGCATCAGGGGTGGGTGGGTGAACCTAAAGGCAGAAGGAGAGTTAACACTGAGCCAGGAATGTATGGGCCACACCTTGGACACCTGGCGGCCCCTGCACAGTACACAAGGACGGGGGCACATGCCACCCCCACGGGCTTGCACACAAGTACACAGCTACACACAAATACCTGCTCCCAACACACCACGCAGACACACTGCACAAACCCGCATACATGTCATTCAGGTGGCTCTGAAGTCAGTCCTAAATAGCTTTGGAATCTGTCCCCTTACCTCACGCTCTCACCAGCTCAGCCTCCTGAGCCCGTGGCTGCCCTCTGAGTCTCCTTCCTCTCCTGCTTGAACCCTCCAGGCCTCTCTCCACACAACACGAAGAGTGACCTTTGTAAACGCCTGAGTGCTCTTGGCCACCCCTGCTGAGATTCCCCCACAGCCCACCAGTAAAACCCAGGATCCTCCATGGGACCTGCCCCGCTGACACTACCCGCCCCATCCTTTCCCGTTTTCCATCACTTGACACCTCCGGCCCTCCCCGACCAGTGCTGTTCCCCTCGGCCGCTTCACTCAGGACATGTGACTCTTCGTGAAGCTCTCGCGGCCCGTGCCCCTGCCCTAGCCTGTTCGACTGTTAGTGCTCCGTCCATACCTCCCGCCCTGGCCTGTGAACTCGAGCAGGGCTGGACATGTCTGCTGAGTTCTTGTTCCGTCCCTGGCTTGGCTCTGTCACTGAGGGAGTGAGTGAAGGGACACACATACATATACACACACCTGTCACTTCACTTTTCTGCTCTTCTGGGGAAACCACCGTAAGGGCCCGCGGTTGGAGACACATGGAAAAGGTGGTGCCTCGGCGCGGGCAGAGCTCACGGAATGCCCAAGAGAGCGTGCCTGACCCGCCCTTCAGCAGGGAGGCACAAAGGGGTGAGGGCACGCACACGTGCACTTGGGCGGGCTCACGCACGCACAGAAGCGGGAGCACGAGCGCACACGTGCCTGCACTGTCCCTGGCTGCCCCAGGGCGCTTGGCTGCAGGGTATGGCCAGGCCTCAGGCCTCTTGCTCTCCCACTGGCTTCATTCTCAGGCACAGCGCAGCAGGGGGCTGCAGAAGGACGGACGGACGGCTGGACAGACAACTAGCACAGGGCAAGCACTGGCCTGGGCAAGGCCTCGTGCGGGCACTGAAGCCTGGGCAACAGGAAGCAGGAGCCTGGCTGCAGGGTTCGGGACTCACCTGGGGTAGGGGGCGCCAGGGGCTGCAGTGGGGGCAGGGAAGTGCTGTCTATATCCGCAGGAAGGGGACAAGGGGTAGAGAGGAGGGCTGGGCCTGTGGTTGGGAGAGACAGCTGTTAGCAGTCTGGCTACCGGCCAGGTGTGGGGCAGGACCTCCCCACCGGGTGCAGGGGATCGGCCTCTGCTAGGACTCTCCAGCGTGTGTACTTGGCATCTGCCACCAGAGGGCACCCGTGCTCTTTGCGCCACAGACGGCTCCTGGCGCTTAAGGGGCAGAAATGGCTTCCTCCTCCTAGGACCCAGCTTAGGAAGCGCGCCCCCCCCCCCCCGGACCCCCTACCCCGCGTCAGCTCACCTCCAGCCTTATTTCCTGGTCAATACGGGGTTGACATCTGCCTTAGGGCTTCTGCATCCACTGTTAAAACGACTGGATTATTTTGCCCCCTTTCGATTCCTGGCCTGCCTTCAGGCCCTGCTTGGCTAAATGACCTTTTCTCCTGAAAGCCCTTGAAATCCCAAGCTGGGTGAGGCAGCCCTCTGGGCTCTTACAGTCCCCACTGAAAGCACTAACACGGCCCTGTCACTGTCAGGCCTCTGGCGGATGAGGATCAGGCCCCGAGAGGGCAGGGGCCTGAGGGTCGGCCCGCGTCAGCAGTGCCGCGCTGGCGTCCAGAACCCTGCCTGGCCAGCTCCAATCCTGGGGGCATTCCTAGGCGGAGTCCTGATTGGTATTCAGAGCGGGACACTGTCCGAGGAGAATCAGGCAACGGAGTGAGCTGAACACGGATAAAGAGCACGTGGAAAAGGGCAGGCAGGTCTCAGGGTGGGCCTCTGGCCTTCCCTTCCTTCCTGGGAAACCGTGCTTTCCTGCTGTTGGGTGACTGCCCCAGCCCAGAGAGGCTGCAGACCTGTCCACCTCACACTGTGGGTCACGAGCAGAGGGCCAGCCAGCCTGTTGAGGCCCAGCTCCGGCTGAAGACGGGCCCTGTGGCCCACAATTGGGCCTGCTGACTTAAGGTTCAGGCTGCCTTGGGCTGGCACAGTCTTCACAGACTCTAAGGCTCTCTAAGCAGCTGGCCAGGGGCTTGGGCTTGGGCTTGAGCAGGCGCCAGAAGGGGGGCGCAGGAGAACTCTGCTCCTCAGGGAGCTCGGCCAAGGGACCAGTCGGCAGGAGGCACCGACGGGAGAAGGAAGTAGCCCCTTGCCCGCCACGTGGCTGAGAGGTAAAAGCCTGTCTCGTGGCCATTCGTATTGTCCCCTCCCTGCCCAGGCAGGTCTCCCTTTTCTTCCTTACCTACTCTTAGAACCCTGGGCAGCTCGCCGTGCCCCCCACCCCCACGCCACTCGAGGCTCTCAGACATGGAGGCAGAGTTCACGTGCGGCTGGACTGAGACCAGGAGTCAAGGGGAGTGCAACGGGCCACCTGGGGAATGGACAGAGCTGCTGGACGGCCTCCGGTGCCGACACAGGGCTGGCAGCAGAGTGCTGGCAGAGCAGGGTGCAGGAGGAAAAGGACACGGCCAGTATGGGTCTCCCCAGCGCAAGGCGCCCCCTTCCCGCCGGGCCCACACTCACCAGCTCACAGTGTGGGGGAGTTGTCCCATGCTGCCTGAGGTCAGAGAGTAGAAGCCAGAGAGGTCAGGGGTCTGCAGAGGCCTGTGAACTCCTACAGGGGAGAGGGGCCGAGTGAGTGAGCTAGCCTGACCTGGGACTGCACCCTAGAGCCTCCTGTGGGGCCTCTAAGACCCTCCCTCCATCTGCTAGAGGACCAGACATACCGGTTTGTTCAGGACTATGCCAGTGTGATGACAGTGCCCCATTTACAGGGCAGAGAGGCTGGGTGACCAGCCTTAAGGATACTGGCTGGCCAGGGGAGAGGTGGAGACACTGAAGGGTGGGCAGGCCAGGCCTCACCGGGCCCTGGTCCACTGCTGGTCTTCAACCGGGGCCTCTCGGCTGGGGGCTCTGGCCTGGCTTTGTGTGCAGGACACAGGCCCCCTGGCCTGGGCAGCCTGGGTTCCACCCACCCCCTCTGCCCCCCCCAGGGTTGAGTCAGCACGTTTCCCACAGCCGACAATGGCTGATTTCAGAATGACTTTCCCTGAGGCTGAGGTGAATCAGCCATCACAACCACCACTTTCCATTTTCTCACTGGGGGGAGGGGAAGGATAGAAGTTTTATTGTCCTCAGCTTTACACAGATGCCTGCTCCCACATCCTGGCATTGGGAGGCCCCTCGGGATTAGGCTCCTACCTCAACCTGAAGCCTTCCAAGTTTGACCTGGCACCACCTGCCCTCAGGCTCCCCATCCACCTTTCTGGTGTTTTCTTTGGGCTTTGAGTTTGCCCAGCCCCAGGTTTTCCAGTGGTAAAAAGGGCCTAGCCCCTGGACTCAGAAGCTAGGGACTTGGCCCCCAGGCTGTGGGGCTGCCAGGCCCCTCCCCTTCCCAGATCTGTACCTTGTTTCTGGCTGATGTCGGCTGGTGCAGGTGTAGGGTGGGGGCTGCTGAAATGTTCATAGAGAGGAGAGAGTTGTGGGACGCTGTGAGCTGGCTGGCTGGCCTTGTTGTGCTGAAAAATGAGGGGGGGGGCTGTGAATGTGGGGAGACCCAAAGGAGGAAGGCCCAGGGCTGGGGGCATACATATAGACAGAGCCTCTTTTAGCTGTGCGGGTAGCCCAAATGTCAAAGGAAAGTGGGGTGGTTAAAACCACAGGCCTCAGGGAGGGGGCACCACTCAAGCCATCCTATGCCAGTGGCCCTGCCCACAGCCCTGCACGCTTTGCTCAAGCAGCCCTACCACCTAAAGAGCCTCTCGGTTTCTATACACCTAATCCCAGAGGCACACCTCCCCTCTCCAGGAAATTCTTTCTGCCTCTGGGTCTGAGACACTCCTCCCCCCTGGCGGCCCACCCCCTCATCCCCCGGTTTCTCTGAGGCCCTGTGGCTTGTCTGGGGGGCTGCTCATGGCCTCCAGCCTGAGACCTCAGGTAATGGTCTTGAGACCTGGCTTACCCCAGGACAGCCTGGAGTTTTCTTTCCTCCTCCTCCAGCCCCCAGACTCAGGGTTTGGAGTCAGACCCACTATTCCACCTCAGGCTTCACAGGATTTGTGGGACAGGGAAGGCTCCCGCCCGCCCTTTAACTCAGAGCAGGTGGGCTAGGTGGGGCCAGGCTCCCTGCAGGGCCAGCCCACCCAGCCTCCACACTTCCTGTTTCCTCAGCAACACAGGACTCTTACTTTTCACACTAGTCACAGGGATCTGTCATGAGATGACTCATGCTGGGAAGGGGGCTCCCCGTGAGACCCAGCCACAGGGAGGTGCTGCTCGGGGCCAAGGCACAGCTCTGCATATCCCCAGCGCACCCCTGCACAAGCCGGGGTCCTGGAAACATCGTCTACCACGGAGGCTCAGCTTCCACTTGGCAAGTGCAGCTGTGGGGCTTCTGTGGCTAGGAGCACAGATAAGTGACTTCTGACTCATGGCACAGAAGCAGCAGGACATCTTTGGAGCAGGACAGTGGTGAGAAGTTGTGGCCTGGGCTCCTTCCCAGGGTGCAGTTTCCCACTGGGTGAATTCAGCCAGACTCCTGCACATCTCTGGGCTTCGGTTCCCTCTCTCGGGTACTGGAGTTCGTGATCCTTCATCACCAGGTCTGGGAAAGCTTAGGGTAGCTCACGGTGAGGAGGCCTGGCACGGGTCCCCTTGGGATTGGCTGTCTGGGGTCCAGTGAGGCGAGAGGGAAGGCCAGGGGCGAGCTGCAACTCAGCCAAGGTGTGAGGCGTCCAGGTGGACAGAGGCTCACCCCCTCCCCCCGGCCGCAGCCCTGGCTGCCCTGTCCCCCACACCTGCTGCCAGGGGCGCTTGAGGCGGGCCTACTGGCTGTAGCACCCTTCCCTCGGGGCCGCCACATCTGCAGTCCCCTGGCCGTTCATCGGCCCACGGGGCAGAGCCTCACGTCCCAGGACTAAGCAGCCTGCGTCCTGTCCTCAGGCAGTCGGGGTGGGGTCCCGGCAGCACCCCAGCCCCCTCGTGAGCACCTCTAACTAGAGCCCTCTCTCGGTGTCCTGGGGCAGCCGACGGAGGGCTCTCCCCTGTGAACTTGAGGAGTCATCGGCTGGCCCTGGGGAGCTCCTGGGTCTAACGTGTGTGGCCTCCAAGAGCGGACTACAGTATCTTGTCAAACGGAGAGGATCACAGGGTTGCTGTAAGGCCAAAGCCACACAATACCCAAGAGCTCAATTCCTCAAAGTGTTGCGTCATGAGGAAGGGACACGCAGGAAGCCCCTCACGCGCACAAAGGAAATGCTCCTCACAGTCCTTCCCTGGCCCTGAGGTGCTGGCCTCCCACGGGCCAGTTTTGGTCTGAATTTGCCAGGGGGGGATCTGCCTGAGGATGGAAGACCTGCCTGGCAGCCCACTGGCAACCTCAGCCCTGGAGGCTGAGGACGGGGCCATGGTGTCTCCAGGCCGTGGGTGCGGTGACTTGCCCGTTGCTGTTCTCAGGCAGGGCTTCCTGAGCAAGCTGGGCGGCTTATGCCACACTTGGGCTTCCTTTATCCACAGCACTGACCCGGAGTCACAACTGTGACAGAGCCAGAGTGTGTGTGGGAACGAAGGGCGGAACGGAGGCCCCTGAGGCTTGCCGGCAAGGGTCGGCGAGAGAGAGGAACTGGGCCGGGGCAGCTACGGGGTGCGAGGCCACCTGTGGAATCCTTCGTGTATCGCGTGCCCGCCGCACGCCAGGTACTGTGCCAAGCCCAGCAGCCTTCCCACTAGGGTACTGACAGGCTGCCAGTTCCCGCTGGAAATCCTCCCTCAGCCACCAGCTCATGTCTCGCTCCCCTTTGTTGCAAAACGCAGCTGCGCCGTCCTGGGCCCCGGCCCCTGCTCTTCGTTCTCGTGCTGCCCTTCAGCCCAGCCGTCCCTTGCACCGTCGCTTCACCAGATGGCTCCTGTCAAGGTCCCCAGCGACTGCCACACCACTGAACTCAATGCTCAGTCTTCCTTTTACCTGACCTCTCGGCAGGACTGGACACAACTCATTTCTCCTTCCTCCTTGAAACGGTTTCTTGGCTGGGCTTCCAGAATGCCACACAAACCTGACCTGCCTCCAAGCTCACAGGCTGCTCTCTGTCAGCCTACTTCCTGCCTGCTCATCTTCCTGACCTGACCCAAGATGGGCCCTTGGCTTTCCGTCTCCCCTCATTCCCTCATTCCCAGAGTGCTCTCATCCAGGGTCACAGCTTTCCACGTCTTCATCTGATGACTGACATGCCGACCTCAGCCCCTACTTCCTCTAGGGAACTCCACTCCCCAAACGCCTACTCACCACATCTACTCAGAAGTCTGAAATGCTCCCCAAACTCAGTACGTCCAAAGAAGAGCCTCTGGTTTCCTGCCCCAAACGCTGTTGTTCTCCGTCTTCCTCAGTTAATGGCCACCCCCTCCTTCCAGTTGCTCAGACACTCTGGAGTAGTCCCTGACTCTCTCACATCCCGCCTCCAGTCTGTCAGTCACCTCTCACCCGGACGACTCCAGTGGCCTCCTGTCCCTCCACCGGTCCTCCATCCAGCAACCATGTAAATCAGATCACAGCACTCCTGCCCAGAGCCGCCCACGCCCTTAGAAAACCTCCAAAGCACCGTGTGGTCAGGCCCCACTCCCTCCCGCTCCTCCCTGCTCACGCCCGGCATTTCCATGTGTGCTTCAGCCTCCAGCTTCCTCCTCCAGTTGGTCTAGTGATCGCTTTCAGGTGTGCCACGAGCGAAAGTGGGCAAGGGTGCTTAGGCTCTCTGACATTTATATTAACCCTTTCAGTACAGGATCCTGGGCCAGTTTGCCCCCTGAATAATGACGATGAGAAAAGCAGCCCTGATTACCTCACTGATCACAGATAATACAAAAATTCTGCCTTATCTCGGAATTTGGGGGAGCAGCAGCCAAGGGCCTGGGAAGCTTCCTGGAAGCCTCTGGGGCCTTTTTATCCTGATAGGGTCCCCAAGAGAGTGGTAGCCAGACATCATCAGCCCTGAGCAGGACTTGTGACAGACAGGGCCACAGCCTCAGGGCCCATTCCCTCAAGAACCTGGGACTCTGGTGGAAAGCATTCCACCATTCGCTACCTAAGGGCACAAACGCCTGGAGCCCTGGCCCAGTAGGTGGAATGGAAACCCTCCACGGGTCCCTCCGGCCTGGGGGCTTTTGAATGTAAGCTCCTGCTTCCGAGAAGGCCTTGCCATCTAAGCCCTGACTCTGGCTCTTGGGCCCCCAGAACTGTAAGCCTGGCTGGTGGACTGGGACCCCTGGAAGGAAGTCTTAGGACCAGAGACCTTGGCCTGGGGTCCAAGGTGCCAGCTTCAGGAAGACAGTCACAGAGTCCCACTCTGCCCGGGAAGTGGGTAGGGCCGGTCTGCTCCGAGGGAGGGAGAGGGTGGCCCCACAGCACGTTTCTCAGCAACCCCCCTGTCCCTGGGGAGGGCTAGCTTTGGCCAGGAAACCACAGAGAGGCCTCTCACCTGACGGAGGACCAGAGCTGACTGTCCTAGGCCAGGCTGGCTAAGCCTCACGGTGCGGAACAGCCAGGCCTAGGAAAACCCCGAATCCAGCTCAGCCTACAGCCTATGGCTGGGATGCATGTGTGGAACGGGTATTGAGGGGGTGGGAGGTAGGAGGCGCTGCCCGATGGTCAGAGGGCTCTTTCTGTCCACCAGCCTTCCCTGGGAACTCAGGAAAAGCCTCTAATTAAACAGGAGTCTGCAGCAAGACCACAGGAGAGGTGCCAGGTGGGCAAGGGTGGAGCAAAGAGCCTACCATTTGCTGGAGGCCTTGGGGTGGCCAGTGCTCTGGGGCAGGGCACTGAGGGCCTGGCCAGTCCTTCCCACGTGGATGCAGGCTGCCCCTCAGCCTCACTCCCCAGCCCCCTCCATGTCTGCGCTGGTAGCCAGGGGGAACCGTCTGGCATGGGGCCCAGTGCCCCACGCCCCCCTCAGCCAGTGGAACGTCCCGCTCCATGGCCTCAGCACAAGGCTGTCCCAGGGCCAGGCTGCCCAGACAACAAGGTGGGGCTGCCTGGGGCCTGGCATGTGTATGGGGAGCCCCGGGACCGGAGCTCCCCCCCTCTCCTCCTTCTGAAACTGACTGCCCAGCCTCCACGGGAAGGGGGCAGGCCTGGGCCGACCATCCCCACCAGGCCCTGAGTATCTCGACGCACAACCTCACCTGGCTTACCTGAGGGCAGAGTGCCAAGCACAGAGCTGTGCTCCCAGTAAGTGTTCACAACAGGGTGGAATGACTACACAAAAGACTCAACAGCAGTCCATACTCCTTGGTCAGGACGCTCCCCGGCCCCATTATCTGCCTCTGCCTGCGTGCCCCCGTCTCACACTCGCACACACACCAGAATGCAGCGCTACACAACAGGTCCAGGACTTGGAGACCCTGCGGCTGGCAGGCCGGGTCTGCCAGTCTCGGCAGAAGTCATCCTTCCTGCTGGCGTGTGGCTTTTACTGCTTGGCACCCCTCTGACTCAAAATCCACTGTCCCGAAGGTGGTCCCCATTTTTCTGGAA